TTCCAAAATATTTCGAAGAGGTTATAACCAGCGAGGAACTGGTATATCGCCAGACCACCTCAACACCTCTTCGAGATACAGTTAGCTTCGACAACAAAGTCAAACATTGGAAGTCGCCGACAACAAAGCTCTTGTGCATGTATTGTAAGGACAACCACAAGCCTTTCTATTGCAGTAAATACGAAACACCTCAAAGAAGGTACTAGTAACTAAGTAACTAAATAATAAGCTATGCCATATTTGCGCCTCTTCATCCGACAGCACAATCCAGTGCAACGGGTCGTCATCCCGTAAGTGCCAGAAACGTCACCACACATCATGCTGTCTTTTTTCAACACCAAACGAGAAGACGTTCGTGATACCTACGAAGAATGCGAACACTAAAAACGAGGCCAACGACAGTAAACACAAAGAAAAAGAGCATAAAAAGCCCACTTCTACGTCCAAAATAAGTCACGTCGGACAAGTGACACCAGCCAAAGACAAAAGTTTCACGAAATCTAGCACAGAATTGCAGTCAACTTTCCTACCCACAGGGGAATTGACTATAATGAACCCAACCACAAAACAATTAGAGAAAGTTTCCGTCTTACTGGATACGGGAGCTGAGCTATCCTTTATCGACGAAAATCTTGCACAAAAGCTAGGTCTACCGACGATAGAAGAAATTAAACTGCGGCTAAACACATTCGGCTCATGCAATGTGCAAGAACGCGTTTCACGAAAGGTCCCATTACAGGTATGGGACGCGGACGGCCATCAAATATCGTTATTCTTGTTCACACATAACGCGATAACGAAGCCCTTTAAACCACCGCCAATTTGTCCAGAAGACATAGGCTTCATAGTAAAAAACAACCTCCAAATTGAGATAAGTAAAACAAGGCCCGTGGTCCAACCCCCATTCTACTCGGATGCGGCCAACTGTGGACTCTGATGAAAAACGAGAAACCGCACATTGAACTACCATCCGGGTTACATCTTATCCCAACGCGTCTAGGTCATTTATGTACAGAACAACTAAAAAGTCCTCCTGCGTTGCAAAAAGAAAATGATAACGTGTTGTTACAAGTACAACACAGCGAAGAAGGAAACACATTGCCCATACAGGATTTCAAGGATGAACTAGACAGATGGAATCAATACTGGGCACTACACGTGCAAGTCGATGAAGAGGAAATGAATAAGTGCAATCAGCATCGGACACTAGAATGTCAAGTCCATGCTTGCCTTACTGAAGACTCAGAGACGGATGAGAACGAAGCAGTCAAATGGGAACAATTTTGGACCCTCGAATCTGCCGGAACAGAAGAATTCACGAACTCCGCAAAAATGCAAAAAACACTGACAGATCAGCAAATATGGCAAATCTTCAACAAAACCAATGAGAAAAGGTTAAACGGATATTACGTTCGTCTACCTTGGAAAGACGTACAGCTAACAGTACCTGATAATAGAGTAATTGTACTCAATAGACTCATAAGTGCTTGGAAATCCCTACAAAAAAACAAAGATCTGCTCGACAGGTACAATTCGAAGAACAACTCCAATTGCACATCCTAAAGGAAAACAGCGAACAGGAATCGCCACAAAGCTTCCGAGTTCATTACATTCCTCAGCAAGCAGTCTTAACTCCCAATAAAAACACCACTAAGATCAGAATAGTTTATTCTTACACGGAGAACCAGTGATCTTCTCACAATTGTTCGGAATCCTTCTTTGCTTTAGAATTGGACGAGTTACGGTTACATCAGACATCGAAAACGCCTTTCTGCAAGTCCGACTCCATGAGGACGATCGCGATGCCACACGATGTCTTTGGCTACATGATCACAGGCTACCACCATTTCCGAACAACATTAAAACCCTACGATTCACCAGAGTAATTTTCGGATTAAATACATCACCATTTCTTTTGGCCGGAACAATACATTTTCATCTTGATCAATATAAAGAAGAAACAGAATTAGTAACGCAAGTTAGAGACAACTTATACGTGGTCAACCTTGTCGTAACCCTCGATGACCTCGAAGAAGCATTTCAGAGCTACCTACGCACAAAACAAATATTCAATGACCTCAACATGAATTTACGCTAATTTGCTTCCAATAATATTGACCTAATGGCAAAAATACCCTCCGATGATAAAGCGGACACTAAATTACCGAAAGTACTGGGGATACCATGGAACACCGACTCCGACTGTCTGCTGATAACATGCATGACAAGAACAAATCAACGTATCACTAAGCGAACGGTGGCTAGCACATTAGCATCGGTATACGACCCCGTGGGCTTCCTAACACCTTTACTTTATAAAGCAAAGACATTCTTAAGCAGTCTATAGAAAGACGAGTACAATTGGAAACATGTCCTGCCCAATTCCCGCAAGGACGAATGGATAGCCATATGCCCGAAAATACAAGGTTTCACGAAACCTCTGCCACGTCGTCTTGGAACAAAAAGTACAAAATACATTCTAGTAACCTTCGCCGACGCCAGCGTTGAAGCTCTGGCCATCTGCATTTATCTACGCTCCGAAAATTGAACTAATCTTCTCATGGCAAAAAGCAAACAGCCTTCGCTAAAATCTGCATCAACCGTACCAAAAATGGAGCTAGATGCGGCAACTATAGCTATGGATTAACCAACGCCGTACTGACTCAACTTCAAAGGACCTTAGCAATTAAAGGAATTTTCATCCTTTTGGACTCGGAGATCGTACTTAGCTGGATAAAGCGCAAACAACTAAAGAACGTTGGACTCAGAATATTCAACAGACTACTGGAAATCGAGAGGCTCGCCGACCACATGCAAAGGAACGGTTATCACATACTTTTCGATCACGTCCAATCACGTTATAACGCAGCGGACTGTGCAACCCATGGTCTTAGCCAGAAGGAATTGCTCAACCACTCCTGGTGTGTCGGACCACCTTTTCTCGAAGAATTTCCATACAATTAAGAAATCATTTGCAACACTTTCAAACACAACGAAGGCTCTTTGGAAAAAGACCCAGAACTTCACAATAATCCAATAGGCACGATATTCCAAGATTTTCCTTACGAAGAACAGCAACTGTTTCTCGTAGAACACAACAACTCAGAGAACGGAAACGATATCTTCACCACATTGGGAAAATACTCTCTGACAAATGTTAAAAGAATCGTAGCAGTATGTTATTCAAATCTCAGTTGCCAAGGTGAGCATTCGTAGACAACACCGTATCAAACTTTCCACACTTCTACGTGCCGCGGACGTCAACCTGGATCTCAACATCTCTGGTGAAGAGATTACTATAGCTGGAAAAGCACTAGTCAGACAGCATCAGTTGTTGACGGTAACCACGCCTATGCTGCAGTCTATGAGGCATCTCAACGTCAAACCAGACAAGGAAGGTTTCCTCCTATGTTTTGAACGACTACGAAATAGCGATTTAGGCAAAGAAGCCAAAAACCCTTTGCTAGTATTTCAGAATTCTTGGTTTGCACAAGCAATCACAGGGGAATGTCACAAAAAAGAACACCGAGGCGTTAGCCACACAATGTCAATCGTACGTGAACAATTCTGGATCCCCAACCTACGTGCAAAAGTAACACGAATCCTCAAAAGATGCGTGCTATGTCAACGCTTCGGCAACCTCCCATACAAATATCCAGAAAAGAGCGACTTACCTAAGCATAGAGTTCACAAATCACGACCTTTCAAGCACATTGGTCTCGACTATTTTGGTCCAATAACAATTATTCAATCGGATTCCACCGAAGGTAAATGTTATGGAGCAATAATAACGTGTATGGTGACGAGACTAATACATCTTGACATCGTCCCCGACCTCACAACTACCTCATTCCTCATGTTCCTACGCCGATTCTTCGCCAGACGTGGAACGCCCGCATCAATTACAAGTGACAACGCTCCAACATTTGTACTAGCGGAAACTATCCTCAATGAAAGTCTCAAATCCATGCAAAACGATCCAGAAGTAAAACGTACAATTGCGAACCATGAAATACAGTGGAAATATATTACCCCATTCGCACCTTGGCAAGGGGGCTTTTACGAAAGACTCATCAAATCAGTAAAACACTCCCTGTACAAAACACTTGGAACCGCAAAGCTCTCAACAGAGCAGCTAACAACGGTAATAATAGAAATCGAATCACTCCTTAATACGAGGCCACTGTTACACGTAGAATCGCAATCCGCACGGGAAGAAACGTTTCGACCTATCGACTTCCTTCAAGAAGACTTCTAAATTTTCGCTGCACTAGATGAGATTGCCACAAGTCTCATACCAGAACTTGCAATAGGAAATAAATACCCAGGAATAACAACCTGCGTTGAATCTTGTGGAGGTCCAGATTGCGACTGTTTCTATTGGAGCTCGGGATACCTATTTTACCCCATTTACTTATTCCCAACATCTTCAACAATCTACGAAATCTTCCACTGCAATCGCTGGAAAGAATCTGCCAAAGTGGAAATCACATATTTCAGCGCTATTTAGCGAACAAAGCAGCCCTACGTTACGCAACTACAACCGGACATTCCATTCAAACACCATTTTTTCACGCTCACACTTAGCTCCATAACAGTGCCACCTGTTCCAAAACTCAACACACTATTTATATCCGACGGAAAGCGAATAGCAATCTGGAACTCCCACATAACGGCACCCCTTAGATGCACGAACCAAGCAGCAGCTGAAAACCTTAACTGCTCGATGGAAAGCGATTGTATCTGCTTTCCAGCGGAAACGCAGGCTAATTGCAGATGTGAAGAAGTAAAAATCGCATCATGGTTCAACAACGTGCAAATAGGCTGCCGATAATCCTCCCTTCGATATCGTACCAACAAAACCAAGAGGGAGAAATCACTGCAAAAGTCTTCAGTATGACAACAGCAGAAATGATCCTCAACATTCAGAATAAACTCGAAACCAATATCGTAGTAGATAAAGATATATACACTGTGGACGATACCATACTACAGAGATGTTATCGCTGCCGCAAAGGATCAAAAGCACAGGTGCCATGCAAATCATCAAGACCTATCCAAGCAGAAATAGCATGCACTTCAGCGACTTTCTCAATACCGTCCAACAACGATGGAAAACACTCAGCACTCCAATTTAGCTTCAGCCACGCCAGAATCGACGAAAAATGTACGGTCTCATACGGTTCCGCACCTACTACTTTCGCAATAAGAGGCCTACAAAAATTTAAGAGCGTCGCTAATGGTATACTGGACATGGCTGAAAGGACAGGCAAACACGGATTTTGAACTCCGATGGCCAGATTTCTGGCACATAGCCGATATATTCATAAATTACTATAAAACACTTATTGCTGTCTCTATTCTTCTAATTATAATATTCGTGCTCACTTACGCATGTCTGCCTACTTGCACAATCCAAGTCGGATTATGCATGTTGAAAGTAATCAAGTTACTTTTACGAAATATCGGCAGACTGATTTGTCTCATCCCTCTAATTCCCTGTAAAAAGTCAACTCCCACACACACCAAACTACTGTAAATCGCTCAACACATGGTATGTTCCAAATTTCTACTCAGTCTGCTCTACTATTCCACTCTACTATTCATTACCGTACTTTCTCTATATGTCAGTGCAGTGCTGCAGCATAATATTATAAACAATTCCAGATATCAATCAAAGTGGACAGGGCTACACAAACTCCACGAGTACCACGAAAAGACGCCACCACACAAACACCAATCAAAGCATTTCTCCACGCAGCCACACAAACCGGAACCGACAACACCGAGCCAACTACCAGCACTGCAACTCAAACGAGGCGTTTCCACCCTACAGGACAAGCCAGCGTCGCGATACAAACACTGCTCCACAAGGTGCCAGAGCTATCATCAATGGCGACTCAAACGGTTTGACTCTTGCCCGAACACTCATTCCCTGCGCTTTTCCGAGGGGGCAATGGGAATATAGGAAACATTCTTCACCAATATTGGAATGCTCTCTATGTAAAACATTTCAAACCTTTTTAAACATTTCAAATGGTTCCCCCATGACCTTCTCTCCATGATGATCTGATAACCGTATGTCTGACATTTCGCTGGCGCCTATCTCGTAAAATATCTGCACTTACGCTCCTAGGCTTTGAATATGGCCCTATCAGATTGCAGTGCTTGAGAAATGCTTCCAGCACCCGTATTTCCGCCTACTGTGGTCTGACTCGGCCTAGCGCAAAAGGTATATAAACGCTTCCACGGTAAGCTAGCTCATGTCGCATCCGTTCCTCACATCTATCTCATGTAGTAGAAGTCATATGCCAATTTCTTCACTCATAAGCAACCTAAACACCAGTGATCAGGCTGCGCCTATTCATTACCTGTATCACTGTTGCATTAATTGTACAGTTGTACTGTTATACCAATCTCTTCGCTCATAAGCGACCTGAACACCAATGATCAGGATGCGCCAGTGATTGGCATAACACTACAACTGTACAATTAATGTGGATCAGAGGAAGATTTGCAACCATGCGACTAGTTTAACACCACGGTAGTCGATACTGGCATTGGCTACCAGTATATCTGTATTCTACAGTCACCTGTATCACCTGTACCACCTATGCCCCTTGATCGTCGAGTGACTCGAGCGGGCGCCTGTAAACCTTCCACTTTTCCCTGTCACGTGCAAGAGAAGCCCAATGGGCTCTCCTCGCTGCAGGGACTCGTCGAGCATCATATCTTTCTTCTAGGCTTTTCGTGAAGAACTCTGACCATCGAGTCGGTGCTCTCCCTGCAGTGCGTTAGACATCCCGAGGAATCCAGTTACTAACGACTCTTGTCCATCGGTTGCCATTCATACGCATTACGTGTCCCATCTTATCTCCGACTGTTTGGCGTACAGAACGGCATCTTCGATTTTTGATCGTTGACGCAGATCGGAGCTTCGGATCCCATCCCTTACTTGTGTGGAACAGGATAGGCCTAGCATCGTCCATTCGACTGCGCATTCGATATCGCTGAGTGACCTTTCACCCTGCTTAGACAGCGACCAGGTTTCTGACGCACACGTTAGAGCAAGAAGTACCGTTGAGTCGAAAAGGTGGGCATGGAGTTGGGTGTTTTTTGTTCTCTTCACTACATCCTCGGTGCTTTTGAAAGCTCCCTAAGTCGCTCGCTTTCTTTTGCTCGAAGCTAGGTGGTTCATCATGTTGATTACCAGACATAAATAGATATAACTGCAGCATTCGGAAATATTTGTTCCATTCAGCGTTTGTGGGGCCTATAAAACCAATCCGTTCTTTGTGAACATCGTTTTTGTGAGATTTAGTCGAAGACCAATCTTTCCACAGGCTTTATGGAAGTCGTCAAGCATACGTTTCACTTGGCTAATGTTTGGTATTATAAGGACGATGTCATCAGCAAAGCAAAGATGGTGTAACTGTGGGCCGTCGATTTTCACTCCCATATTATCCCATTCCAACGTTCGCATGACGTTCTGCAGGGTGGCGGTAAATAATTTTGGCAAGATGGTATCGTTTTGCCTAACTCCTCTTTTGACGTCAATGTCAATATCGTTGTAGAATGCTGATACCTTGGTTGTGAAACTTTTGTACAGCTCACGAAGAATCTTTATGTACTGAGTAGGGTCTCCTTGAGTATCAAGGGCTTCCATGACTGCTTCTATCTCAACTGAATCAAAGGTCTTCTGTAAATCGATGAAAGTGAGGCAGAACCGTCTTTTGTACTCTCGTGATATGTCAATGAGCCGTGTTACCGCGTGGATGTGGTCCATCGTACTAAATCCTTTTCGAAACCCTGCTTGCTCACATAGCTGTCTTTCGTCCAGTGTTCTGTCAATTTTGTTTAGGATTACTCGAGTGGAAAGCTTGTAGACGATAGGCAGTAAGCAGAATTGGCAATGGTTCCCGATATCGCGCAGGTCACCCTTCTTGAACAATAACACGGTCTTGTTGGCCTTCCACTGAGTAGAGACCTTGCATTCAGACAGCTAACGTGTGAAGAACGGAGCCAGCGTGTTTACGAGGACTGGCGAAAGGTTCCTCAGGTGTTCTATTCATATCTTGTCCGGACTGGTGCTGTTCAATTCTTCACTGACAAAATGCCATGTTGGATTTCGGAAGGGAGAACCGGTGGTGCAACATATCCATCCACATGACGGAAGGTGGACGTGGCCATCGAAGAGATCCGAGTGGTATTCGTGAACGATTTTTTCCACTGCCTTTCTGGACGCTTTAATTGTCCCTTCTGGGCGTCGGAGTGCAATCATCTTAGTCTTGTAATTGGCGAAGTTTCGATGTCGGTGGGCTTCGCGAATACTTTTCCCAGCCTCTGCAGCTTCGGCCATTACTGCTGCTCTTCTCCCTCTAAGATCTTCTTTTATCGCCTGTCTGCATTGTTTTGCAAGTTCGGACGGTCAGTTCGCGGTTGACTGCCGCTCGTGCGATTCCACGCTGGCGTATCAGCTCGAGTGTTTCTGGAGATAGACGTCTCTTGGCAAATTTCGAACTCTGAGCTTTCATAGCGCGAGCGTGAAGATGTTGAATCAGCCGATCGTATTCTTCGTCAATGTTGTCGACAACGACATCTTTCCGACAGCCGGCTAATGAATTGAATAAATCCCACTTTTCGGTGGTTTTGGGACTTCGGTTTTGGAATTTAGCGGCTTTTCCTCCTTTCCGCGAGAAATAGAACCTTGAACGAAGAAGGCGATGGTCTGATCCCGTTTAGAATTTTGAGACAACAGCGACATCGGTTAGGCAAAACCTATTTACTATGATGTGGTCTATTTCGTTATGGTACTCTCCATTGGGAGACTCCCACGTCTAGCGCTGAGGGTGGGCTTCTGGAATTGCGAGTCACCATGGATTGTCTTGGTCGCCATGATAAACTCAGATAGCCGCTCACCCTGTCCGTTTCATTCTATTCCATGGGCTTTAATGTGACGTTCTTCCGACGTTCTTCTTAGTCCAATCTTGGCGCTGAAATCTCCAATGATGACCTTGAAGAATGTGTGGTCTTCTCTGTAGAACTACTACAAGTCTGTATAGAACGCCTCAGCTTCTTCTTCGTCATAGTTTGATTTCGACGCGTAAACGACGAAGATTGTCAAAGCCGGAATTGATCCACGTCTTTTTAATCGTAAACGTCCGATTCGGGTTGTAAGTTGTTCGAATGAGTTGATGTTCATGGAGGAACTCGTGTTGACGAGAACGCCGATGCAGCCGACTCCTCTACTGTCGCATGTTCCTAGGAACAGTTCTTCTCCGATGTTATAGACGTCATTGAAAAGAGGGCCAGGCCGATGACGTCGTACCTTATCTATCTTCCTTGCATGAGCAAGTCTTCTATCGAAGACTCGGACGTAAGTGTACGTGCATTGTAGGTACAGATCGTCACCATAGTTTTTAAAATCCAGGCAGCTTCCATTCGCACTGAGGTTTTAGCAGCCTCTCCGTGCTCGTCCTACCCAACGCTGCGAAATTGGGGACACCTTCGGGGTCAGAGAAATGAGTCCCGTTTTTTGACTGCGTTTAGCATTTTTGATACCCACGTATAGCTTGCTGAGCTCTGAACGTGGGCTGGGAATACTCACGGGCAGCTTGCCAGGCTCTCCCAGCGGGTACATGGAGCTTATTTGTTGGAGGCGACTCCTAACCGCCTCCCATATACTTGCATGTCATATCACTAAGAATCCAGCCGATGAAAGGCTTCGTTCATCGGCTTTCATGCATGCGCATCAACTATTCGATCCATGTGGATTGATTGTTCGTAACATGTTCTAGTTATCAATATTTCCGTGCGTTAATGAACTTAAACGAGGTTGCTATAGGGAAAAAGCGGTTATTTGGTTGTTCTAGTTATGTCCGTGAACGTAATCTTGATGAAGTATGTATGTCACGATGGTCAAGCAGAGTGGGTGATAGTATCATGGCATTGTTGTAGCGGTATGCTGTTATACTCGTCTTCATATAGTGGTAGATTTTGCTGAAAGTTAGGTTTGGCAATGATTGGAAATTTTCTGCCGTGCAGAGCATTTTTGTTTTATATACGTACATAGACAGGTGACATGAAGGACCCGCATGGTGTGGTGATGAACGCGTTACTCCCCGGAAAGGACAATTGAGCGTTCGTTCCCCACCGCAGACACCTGTGGTCCGGAGTTTTGAAAATATCTCAGCATTATAATAGTTACATATATACATACATACGTATGTATGTGTTTGTATATTCAACTGGTAGC